TGGGAAAGGGTCTGCCCAGTTTCTCTCCTTATGTGTTGCAATTTTCCTGGAAATGTGAGTGATCCCAGAAGGGACCTGGTCTCACTCTGTGGGCGGCACCATGGACTTCAGCTGGTGCGACAATTCCCAGGGTGGCCTCTCCAGGAACTGGTGGTCTGCAGCCAGACCAGGGCCCCCACTGGACACAGTGTGGAGGGGGACATCCAGGATTAGGGAACAGCTGGTGGGGGAGGGCACAGGGAGAGAAGTGGGGGATGGCAGGGTTGGGAAGACCTTCTGGCTCCTTGGTTCCTTCCAAACTAGCTGAGCCTTATGGGTAAGGAGGTTGTTCCTGGCTCCTCAGGCTCCTCTTGCTTCTCTGGGCTTGGTTTCCTTGGACTATGGGGTAGCTTTACAGTGTGGGGATCAGATCCTTCGAGGGCTGTGGGTGGACTGAGGTTAGTAGTCCCAGGATTACCACAGATCAGACCTGCTGTGTGACCCAGAGGAAGGCTGTTCCTGTGAGTTCTCTGCCTCCTCTCTCCTCCTCATTCTGTGTGTGTGTGTGTGTGTATGTGTATGAGCATGCATGTATGTGAGTGTGCAAGTGGAGGCCAGAAGACAACCTTGGATTTAGCCTCCTCCTTGTTGTTGCTATTATTATTTATTTCCTTGTTGTTGTTATTATTTATCATTAGTATTATTTGAGACAGGGTTTCTCATTGAACCTCGAGCTCACTGATTCAAATGGGCTGCCTGGCCAATAAGCTCAGGGATCTGCCTGTCTCCACCCCCCAGGACTGGGATTACAGGTGTGTACTGTGTTTTTACAAGGATTCTGAGTATCCAAACTCAGGTCCCCCTGTTTGCATGGCCAGTGCCTTACCAACTGGGCCATCCTCTTAGCTTCTGACTCCTTGTCTTTACAAGGTGCCTGGGAGCTGGCTGACTGCTCTGATGCCTAGAGAGGCCATAGACCAGCTCTTTTCTGCACACTTCTAGGGATGAACCTGACTTGGGTGGCAAGGGATTGTAGGAAAGACAAGCACATGGACACAGCGGGGTTGGGGGCTGGTGGGCGGGGCCCTCTGGTGGAGGAGCTGCAGCACCCAGAAGCTCAGTGTGTTTATTATAAACAGCTGGACAGAGAGGCGGGGTTATTGCACTCAGATAAGAAGGAGGGTTTGGCTAAACTCAGGAGAAGCATTCTCCATAGGGGAGCAGGCCTCATGCTGTGAAGAGAAAGCTATGGTGGACAGCTCCCCATCCCTACCACCACCACTGCCACCACCATCACTGCTGCCGCCACCACCACCACCTCCACCACTATCACCACCACTCCCCCCCCCCCCCCCCCCCCCCCCCCATGCACTGTCAACATTTGCACTCTGACCTGAGGAAGGCCTTGCTAGCCCTCTGAGCCTTGCCTGGGGGAGACTTTGCCAATCCCATGGGATGGGGCCACTGGGGTCCTTGCCACGGCTGTGCCCATGTCAACAGTACACAGTCACTCAGGATTTCACTCCTCCCTGTACCCTTGGGCTCTTGTTTCCTCTGCTGTTCACCCAGAAGAGGATGCCCTATGGCTGAACCAGCCTCCTGCCTGCCTCTTTTGATTTCTGTACCTGTTTATTCTCCCATAGGACTTTTGGGGTCAAGTAGAGTCTGGTAGACAGACTGCTGTGGGGGATGCCACTGGGAGCCAGCACCAGCCTGCACACTGCCCGCCATCCACACAAGTCAGTAAAAGGGAAAAAGACTTGCAGCAATTCTGTTAGGAGCTGGGGTGAGGTCTCTGTGTCTGGGAGTACAAGGCCTTATCTCTGTCCCATCCCCACCCCATCCCCTCAAGGTGCTGTCTTATCGCTGGGTTCAGGGGTTCTCCTGGGCCTGGCTAGGGTTTCCTCCCCTGTCTTTCCAGGAGTCCATCAGGTGAGTTTTATGGAGGTGACCCCAAGGGGGAGATGCCATTTTTTCCACCAGGCCCTGCTGCCCCTTCAACCTGGCTCCTGCCACTTTCTCTTACCTTGGAAACTGGAGGCAGTTTCTGGAGGGTGCATGTTAGCCAGTGGCCTTCCTAGCCACAATGGCCTCACAGTCTAGTGCCCTTGCTCTGGGCTGCAGGATCTTACTCCAGGCATGTAGCCTCCCACCTCCCTGAGCCCACAAAGGCCAGTCCTGCTCCCCACTCCATAGTCTGCATTCTCCTAGCCTGGTCATTACCCAGCACTGCCTCCCTACCCCATGGTGTACCCTACCTTTAGCTTGGCATCTCCACAATGATGGGCCTGGAGCTCACGGCCATTCCTTTTGGGTCCACAGCAGCATGCCTTTCTCTGGTGGCCCTCTCCACAGGAATCAGGGATTTCTCCCTTCTACCACATGCTCAGGGATCCTCCTGGCCACTGCTACCTTGGCATGCCTCATACTCTCCCTCCAGAACCAAGGCACCAACTGCCTCCCATCACCGTCAGTAGCAGAGCTGGGCAGGCATGCCTCAACTGCCACCCTCCTTTTCCCCAATCAGAATTCTTCCTGCCCATCTCAGGCTTACCCCCAGAATCTCTCCTTTCCCAGCATCCCTAGAAGTCAGCAGACTCACGCTGGGCCTAGTTCACTCACTCCCCAAACCGGAAAGGGGCACGCACCCTGGACTTTTGGTTAAACCCAGTTCCTCCTTTAGCCTAGCCTTCTGGGTGAGAGGCAGAGTGTGATTTGAGGGAGACACTGTCATGTGAGATCTTTGGTGCACATTTACACCTGTTAAACACAAGGACAGTGAGTGGCTCTGTCTATGGCAGCAGTACCCTGCCAGGCTGCAGTGTGTAATCCTTTGTCCACAGGATCACCCCAACCCTGGCTCTTGGAAACAGCAATCCAACGACTCTTCCACTGACTTCCACAGCCCTTGCTGGAGTCTCTTATGCTGTGGAGCCAGGTGGGTCTTCAGGGCGGGACCCTTCTCCTCCTGGGCCTCCTCTGGAGCTGAGACCACATGGCACTTAGACCAGGACGTCCTGTGTGCAGGGACATCTCACAGACTTACTCCTTTGCACATCTCTGGACCCCTGTGCAGCCACAACTACAGCACAGCATCATTTTCTTTAACTCTGTATCCCTCTCCCGATGACAGGTGCTAGCAGGGCACTTCCTGTTGCTATGATAAGATACGCCAACAGAAACAACGTAGGGGACCATGGTTTTAGTTTTCTTATGGTTCCAAGTTATGATCCTTCACAGTGGAGAAATCATGGCAGCAGGAACCAGCTAGTCATCCCAAGAGTCCAGATCAGAGAGAGAATGGATGCATGCATGCTTGCACTTAGCTTGACTTCTCTATTTTTACACAGCCCAGGACCCAAACCTACTTTTAGACTAGGCCCTCCCACATCAATTAATATATGCAAGACAACCCCCCACAGGCACGCCCACAGGCTAACAAGATCTAGACACTCTCTTGTTGACGTTCTCTTCATGGGTGCCTGTCTCTATGTTGTGTCGAGTTGACAGTTACAACCAACCATCACAATCCCATCCCTTACCAACCTGACGCACAGACATATCACCTTAAGCCATACCCGCCCACCTCTTCTTCCTAAAGCCTCATGTTTATCTCATAATGTAAAACAGAGTCCAGTTGTAAAAGTTCCCACAGTCTTTAAAAAGTCCGCCCGCCACTTGGTGCTGGAGAGATGGCTCATTAGTGACCAGCAACTGCTGCTCTTTCCAAGGACCTGGGTTTGGTTTCCAGCATCCACCAGAGCTCACAACTGACGGCCACTCCACCTCCAGGGGATTTGAAGCTGCCTTTTGGCCTCAATGGGCAACAACAGAAAGACACACACACACACACACACACACACACACACACACACACACACACACACACACTCTTTAAAAAAAAATTTCCAACACTTAGAAAACATAGAGCATAACAGAGCAGTCACACCAAAGCAAAACCAAAACCAAAACCCAGCAGAGAAAAGCACCAAATCCTACAGCTCCATGTCCAGCATCTAGGGTTTGTAATGTAATTATCTTGGTTCCAAAGAGCTTGAGTAACCCCACCCTCTCCAGCTCTGCCATCTCAGCACACACAGATTTTCCCATAGGCTGGCTACACATCATACCTGCAGTTCTCCTGGGCAAACATCTCATGTTCTGGGCATCTCCGATAGACTGGTGTCCCATTGCAATTGAGGGTTCACCTTCAAAGCCTCATGCAAAGTTCTCTCAGAGCCTCTCCACAGAGACCATGGACCTGCTCCATGGAGCCTGGCTCAGTGGCTCCCCGTGACCCCCCCAGTCTTGCATCTTTGCCTTTAAAACCAGTACCATATGGACATTGCCCAGTTCTGTTGCTGCCGGATTCGAGAAATAGCCTGCCACAGCCGCACCAACTGTGTACTGACCTTGACCAAACACTTTCCTGCTGTCCTAACGCGGCAGAGGAGGCTGCATCGGTGCTAATCTCACTACTACGACTGCTTCTTCAACACCAACTTGACTCCAATGCTGCCTTGAAGCTTCCCACTCAAAACAAATGAGTCCATCTCTTTAAAGTCAACTTCACTCAGGTCTCAGGACATGGGTGGAATGAAGCCAGAGTCTTGGCCCCCAGTCCAGTTCCTCACAGAGTCCTTGTTCCCTCTGAAGCTTCACAAGCTGCCTGCTTTTCTCAGCAGTACTGCTTTCCAGTCTGTCATTAGGACAACCCATTAATATTTGCTTACAGTATCCAATGGCTTTTTTATACCAATGTGCCAAATGCTTCTGTATTCCTCCTGCTAAACAGTTCAAAGGTATAAAAGCCATGTGGTCAGGTTTATCACGGCAAGAGCCATCCTTCTTGGTCCCATTTGTTTTTTTAGTCTCATTTCTTGATGCCCTTAGAGCACAAAGTGTTGATTTTCATCTCACGAGTCCAGGTTGTAGTCCACCATAGCAGGAAAGTCAGGGCAGCGGGAACCTGAAGCAGGTAGAGGATGTGTGCACACACCTTACTCTCAGCCAGTTCAGGATCGAAACCCGGGCATGGTGCCTCCCTCTTTCAGACTGACTCTTCCTATATCAATCAACGTACTCAAGACACGCCCCCCTCCCACAGGCATACCTATAAGCTCACCTGATCTAAGCAATCCCTCACTGAAACTCTCCCCTAAGCGATTCTAGATTTCAAGTTGACAGTTAAAGTTAAGTGTCACAGCCAGGCAGTGGTGGCGCACACCTTTAACCCCAGCACTCAGGAGGCAGAGCCAGGTAGATCTCTGAGTATTTGAGGCCAGCCTGGTCTACAGAGTGAGATTCAAGACAGGCACCAAAACTACACAGAGAAACCCTGTCTCAAAAAAACAAAAAACAAACAAAAAACAAAACCAACAAAAAAACCTAACCATTATAAGCCACAGTGGGGCACATGTAGTGTTTTAGATAGAATCTGCTCTTATTTGGGTGGGTTGGCCCAGGGGCTAAGGACCCCCTGGGGGCATTGCATCCCTCTCCCAACCCCATAAGTCCCCTAGTTCCTGTGCAGAAAAAGCACTTGCTTGCAGAATGAATGAAGGCAAAGGGAAGGGTACAGGAGGTTGGAAAGAAGTGGACAGATGCTCAGGTCTAGCTGGTTTGTGTGCCCACCAAGTTCCTGACGAGGGAGAGGCATTTGCATGGTTCCAGGGACAAGCGCCTCCTCTAGCCCAGCTGCAACCTCTGTCAACCTCTGCTCCTCTCCCTGCCGCCCTGGTGGCCCCTGGACCCAGCATGCATCAGGATGCTGTGTGGGGACAAAGACCGTGTTCGCTGCTATTCCAGAAGGCTTGCAGGACCACAGGGGTGTGTGTGTGTGTGTGTGTGTGTGTGTGTGTGTGTGTGTGTGTGTGTGTGTGTGTGTTGCTGATGGGGTGGAGGCTGAATTCTCTAGACGTAATTACTTCCTGCTAGTATTCCTAGACAGAGCCAATTGCCCCACCCCACAGCACATTGGAGAGAAGAGGTGCAGGTAGGGCCAGGGCTTGATCATGCTCTCAGGCCAGGTTGGGAAGAGCTGTTTCCATAGAGTAGAAGGCCCAGGGCAGGGGCTCTGGGGCTGGAGGGGGAAAGGGAACCTAGGGACCAGGAGCATCATCACGGAGGAGGATGAGCTTTGGGGGATGAGTAGGACCCTACAGTGCAGCAAGGCAGAAAGAGGGGGTTCTGGGATATAGAGGCAATGTGTAGGTATAGACAGAAGACCACAGAGCATGAGGGGACAAAGACCCCAGGCAGGGTTTTCCGCTCAGATGACCCAAGATTTGGGTAGTACTGTAGGTAGGGGTGGCTGGCTGAGGTACAAGCTCTGGTGAGCACAGTGTGGCTTTGAGTAGAAGCATCCTCCCTGATGAGTGCCTGCCCAGGTGTCCCCTGTGGTCTTGTCTCAGCATTTCCACAGGCTGATGCTCGTCTCCAGACCAAGGTCTCCCTGGTACGGTGGCCCTGGCCATGTGGGGTGGGCTCAGCAACCGGGTGCCTGGGTCTTCTGCTTCGCCATTCTGACTTGGACCTTGTGGTGTTTACAGTCGGCACACAGTGACTTCCTGTTTTTAAAGAGAAGAGGATTAGAAACACTTATTAAAACGCCTTTGAAAGGCATCAAAGGACTTCCTGAACGTCAAATGACTCTTACAAAAGAACCGTTTAATGATTTAAATGGCACAATGAGAAACACACCGGCCAGCCCTCCCTTTGGGCTCTGGGGTCTTACTCAGCCAAGGAGGATGGTGGGCCATATGTGAGAGGACTGAGAGGTCCAGAGAGGCTAAAAACAGCTAAAAACTCCCTCTGACTCAGGTATTTAGGGGGTGTCAGGGGACATAGCGCAGGCTTGGTGAGCAGCCCCATCCAGGGAGTCCCAACCTCTTGCTCCAGTCTCTCTTGCCTCCAGCATCTCGAATCCCCTCAGGTACACAACCCCTCCAAGTTTCCACCTACCATCTTCCAACGCTTAGTCCCATTCTAGCCACCCATATGCCATCTGCACGTCTGACCTGTCCCCATCCTCGCCCGGCATGTCTGACCTTGGCTTCCTCTGTCCAGGATGCTCCTCACTCCTCTGGACACAGCGCAGGTCTTTCCCAGGCCCTTGAAGCTGCACTGTCCCGTATCAGTTCATCCTCGGCCCCCTACTGCCACCTCAGGGGTCCATCCTGGATGCAGAGGACAAAGGAGGGATGCTGACCACTCCTGGTTCTAGGGAACACCCATAGGTGCGCAGCTGTCCACACATAAGGTGTGGTAGGGGCCAGTAGCTCTTTCCTGGGAGCTAGAACACCATGCATCTGAGTTGTACAGGATACAGCTGCAAACTCCAGCTCCCCCCGCCCACCCCAGTTCCCTGGGGCCTTACCATCACAGCAGATGGGAGGCCCTGAGCCATGCCCTCTGAATTGTGGGTATTGCTGTCCTGCCTGAGTTTGCCTCCACCCTGAGGCCCCGCTGTCTCCTCTGCCCAGACTCCCGGCTCTTTCATAACTATCACTCATCCCCAGAGCTGGTGGCCCGACCACAGCCCCATCTTGCCCACCCAGCCAGGCAGCAAGTGCCCCTTGGTCTGGCCACTTTGGCCTCCTTCCCACGCCTGGGCTGTGACCTCGTGTGTCCTCCCAACCTTACCCCCAGCCGTGACTCCTTTCTTCTCTGTTTTCTCCAAAGAGGGCACATCGTTACTTAGGCAGCTATTAAACCCTTCAGTGGCTCTCAGAAAATGCCAAGGAATTCTTGGAATAAAAATAACAATGAATAAACTTGCCTGGAAATGAGGCTGTGGGGCTGAATTTGATTACACCCATTTAGAAGAGAAAATTAGCTTATTACAGCTGAGGTGAGGCAAGGTTTTCTGTTTGCCTCAGTAAAAAAGGCGTCTTTGAACCCCTCACCAGGCCGGTCTCTCTCCAGTCGTGAGCTGAACTCCAGTGGGGTTTGCAGCTGCAGTCATACCCCTAGGCTGGCGCTCCAGGGCTACTTCCCATGGCACTGGCCAGTGGTCTTGAGGGCCATACTCTGCCAGCCATGGTGGCCCTGCCCTGCTGGTATGACTTGACTATCTATACACATGATGGACGGGGATGGTCACACTATGATACCCCAGGCACCCCTGGAAGGCTCACCCAGGACCACCCTGTGCATTACCAGCCCCTGCCTCTTTCCCTCACTGTGCAGGCCACAGGCATGCTGAAGTCTTAGCAACATACTTCCTCCTGGTTTTTAGATAAAATGCACGCACTGTAAAAGGACAGGATACTCAGGAGAGGTGGGACAACTCTTCTTACGATTAATCTCCCTAGACCTGTCACCTGCCATAGGTTCATAGTGATAGCTCAAGAAAACACTGAGGGACGAATGTGTTCCTCAGCTAGATTTGAGGACATCTGACTAGACGGGAAACCTGCCCAGTTATAACAGAGTCAAGAAAGGACCATTGCCAAACAGCCTCTTAGGTCCACACGTTCTCCTATTCTTCTACAAGCATCCTTGAAGCACCTACTATGTGCCCAACTCCGGTGTATACGGAGTGTTCCTGGCCAAGAAGATCGGAGTGTCCACAATGACTATGACAGTGAACTGGGCAACAGTGGCCACATAAAGACCCAGTGTTAAATCCCTGACCCCCAGTGGCACGAGAAGAAGTTTCCGAAGTGTGATCGGCTGCAGGGATTTCTATGGATCTCTTTGAGTGAGAGAGGCAGATAGAGACACGTGTGGCCGGCCAAGAGAGTGTCATTGGAAGTACTTTCTGAGTTTGCTGCTCAGGTGGGCTTGTGGAGAGTCCAAAGACCATGCTCAGGCCTCCAGCCCATCTCTGCTATAAATACCTGGTTGCCCTGCTGTAGCCCTGCCCCAGATTTATCAGCTGAATCAGTTCTGACACTGTGACTTGGCCAGGGGCCTCTCTGGCCTCCAGTGTTTCTCTAGCCTCTGCCTGACACCTGCTCACATCCCTGGCTCAGTCCCAACTCTGTTCCTGACAGTGATCTCTTTTCCTGGACCATGGCCCCTTCTCCTCTCCATCCTGCACCATGGCTCCATTTCACCTCCCTTCCTCTTGACTCTTCTTCTTTGCTTTCATCTCTTCATGTTCCCGGCTCCCCAGGTCTGTGGCCTTCAGAAGAACATCAGGGCTCTTCCAGCTTGCCAGCTTTCTTGGTTCCTCTCTGTCCTTCCCTATTCCTATGACACCTGTCACTGCCAGCCTACTGCTAAGAGCATGTGCTTTGGAGTTAGTTACAGGTGGGTTCACAGCTCAGCACTTCTGCTTTCTAGAACTGTGACTTTGGGTAAGCCACCAGGTTCCATTAATTCAGTTGTGTGGCAGGGACATCAGGGTCCCTGTTTCTGTGAACTGGATCATGTCTGGAAAGCATGTGGCCCAGCAAGTGCAGGTAGGCAGAGACCATGTGTCCCATCTGTGCTCTCTTCTAAGCTCTTGGAACCTAACACGTACAGGGCATGCAGGAGGTTGACTAGATGATGACAGCATTGAATGAGTGGATGTCTGTAGCGTGCATAGGACATAGTAGGACCCATAGAAGGTGATCATGTCCTTGTTGTGATGCTATTATAAACAGGAACCAGGGCCTAGGTGGAGGGGGCCATGCAGGTGGGAGGTACCTGCTAGCTGTGTGCATATGTTTACAGAGCTTTCAAATGCAAGGGCTATAGCGTTGCCACAGGACATTGCCCTAGGACCACACACTGGCTTCTGGCTCTTCCCTGTTCCTTCTGATCCTTGTGTTGGGCCAAGAAGGGAATCAGGATAACCCTGGGTAGATGGCCTTGGTCCCGAGAGCAGGCACTGAGTCAAAGGAAGAGACTCAAAATTTGAGCTTGCTGCATTTGGGATGGGTTAGAAGTAAGAACGTGGCCCTTCTCAGACTTTTGAAAGTCCTGAAGTGCTCACTTTTGACAATGGGTGAAAGTGTTTCTATGACTGTAAGTAAATGTTACAAGTCAGTAAATGGTTGAATGGGCAAATGGGTTAATGGATGATGGTGGGCACCTTGATGGCTGGCTAGATTAGATGGGCTTATGGATGAATGGACTGGGGTAAGATTTGGTAGATCAGTGAATGTGTAGATCTATGGATTGTTACATGAATTGACAAAGGGCTGAATGGCGCAGTTTGTTGGTTAGGCTGGTTCAATGGACAGACAGAATGATATATGGGTAGATGAATGAGAGGGCCAATGAATGTATGATTGGATGAATGGGAGGATGGTTGGATGAATGGATGCTCAGGCCTCCAGCCCATCTCTACTACAAATACCTGGTTGCCCTGCTTTAGCAGGGAGGGATGGTTGGATGGAGGGATGGCTAGATAAAGGGATGGATAAATGAATGGACACAGTTAGGGATACGGATGAAGTTCTGTCGAAGGAGCCATGAGCGGAGGTGTGTAGGGACAGATGGACAGGTGTTGATATGACAACAGGGGGAGTGAGTGATGCTTAAAGCTTCACCTTTGTGTGTTACATGGAGCAGTTACTAGTGCTGGCTGCATGCAGGACAACCAAGAGCCAGGGTCAGGGGAGGGCACGACACCCCCTTTTGTGTTGCCTAGAGCTGCCCCTGCCATGCCCTTGCCCCACAAGCTCAGTAGGCACTCCTGACTGGGCTGGGCTGGTTCTTCCTGCTCTTGGCTTAGGCTTGGGAGCTCAGATAGAGGCTATGAGGCAAAGGGGAGCATGCTTAGGAGCTTAGGTTAGAGCCAGCTCGAGGAAATAGCTCAGATCCTGCTCCAGGCTAACCTGGGAACCTGACAGCCCAGAGTTAACCTTGGAACTTGGCATCCCAGAGGATCCTGAGCACAGCACTAACGGGGTGTTTGGGGGCAGCCTGCAGAGGTATCGCCGTGTCCTCTTCTAGCCTTGGGCATGTGTGCCTCTCTATGGGTGAGATGAGACATTCTCTTAGGCCCTATAAAGCCAGCCTGTCAGGGAAGGAGCCAATATCTACACTAGCCCAGTGGAACAAGCTGGGAGGACCCTGGAAAGGGCTGTCTGCCATCTCTGGTGAGCTGCTGAAGGTTCTGGGTCCGATGAGGGAGCCACAGAAAGACAGGGGGTGTGGTGGTACAGGCAGAGACGAGGCTGCCAGACCTAGGCTGACAACCAGGTTCCAGTTAGTTAGTTTCCACCCACTTACATCCTCCCCTCCTCCCACACATGGACTCACGTGCATGCTGCTAATACACCCTGAAACACCTGCACCCCTAGATCTATCCCAGCAGCCCACATTCTCTGAAGATCTCCGACGGCACCCTCCTCATGCTCCTGTCATGAATACAAGCAGCCACTGCCCTAAAGTCCTGGAGCCTATGGTCATTTCCACACAGACACACCCACTCTCTAGTCTGGTTGTAGTGGACCATGCCCTCTCTGGGTTCCTGAAACCAGGCAGAGCCTCAGCAAGGGTTCCACGGGTACCTCCCCCTGCCTCCCTCACTTAAACCTCAAAGAAACAGAAGTACTTTATAAAGGGGGGGGGGTGAAGTAGGTCTCAGAGGACCCCTCTCTACAGATCCAGGGTTTGTGGATGGTAGTTTCTTGTCTCAGTTTCTCTACTATGTCACAGGAACCTCCATGGGTTCCTTCCTGGTCCTTCTAGCTCAGGCTGACGTGTACCTCTTGAGAACTACCCTTTACATCAGGCACCGTGCTAGGGTTCCCTTTCCAGCAGCACAGCCCACACCACATACCCTGCCTTCTCCAGCTGACTCCACACACCTAACTTGGTGTGTGCCTGGCGGTGCGAGTCTGTAGGCACAGCTCCTCTATAGGCTGAGGCGGCAGGATGGTATACTCACTCCAGGCTGAGTTCAAGGCCTGCTGTGCAACTTGGTGAGGCCGTGCTTTACAATAAAAGGAAGCAGAGGGCTGGAGAGCCAGCTCTAGAATAGAACGGCTGCTTGGCGTGAGAGAAAGCCCTTTCTTTAAGAAAAAGAAAGAAGGAGAGAAAGAAAAGCAAAGAAGAAAGTCAGGTTCCCGTCTCTCCCCCACCTGCTGTACTAGAAGGGAGTCTGAGGGCTTCTCTTGGGGAGAAAAGCAAACGCCTTCTCCCAGCCCAGGCACCGGGACCGCCTACTACCCACTAGCGAGGAAGACTTGCCTCGCTGGAATTGGGGAGGCATGCTTGGCCCATCCAGTCTAGC